TTTTTATATAACAATATATTACATATATTATTTATATAATAATGTATTATATATATTTATATCTAAATTTAAATCATAATTTCCCATTTGATAATGTGGTTAGTGTCTTCTTTTGTATAGATTTGATACAGATTCGAATATCACATTATATATATATTTTTCTTAATTTTAGTTTAACGAGTCAATTTCGAGCCGAACATGAACACAAATATTTAAATTGAGTCGAACACAAACACAATGTTCACGAGCCGATTTCGAACACGAGCTAGGTCGAATTCGAACACGAGCTATTTCGAACGAGCCGAACACGAGCCAAGCCTGAGCTCGCTCAAGCTCGGCTCGTTTACAACCCTAATCAAGAGTATTAATCTTTTAGAGTATTTAAATAATCATAGAGATTAAGATTAAATTTTGATGATACCTATTAAAGTTAAATAATAATACAAATAATTTTTCAAAAATGCAAGAAAATAACCCGATAACGCTCATTAGGATAAGACCCTTTTACAATTATACATTTATAGTCATTGCTTGTCAAATTATAATTATAAATTTTTAATTTTTGTTAGAATTTGGATGTATTAATTAGTATTTTTGCCTCTAATTTTATCAAATTTGAGCATTGATGAACTATAAAAAAATTTCATCATTTGATACAAATCTTAAAAGTATTTTTTTAGCAAAAAAAAAATAATCATAATTCATATTTTATAAAATATGAGATGTGATTCTGACAAGCTTTTAGTCGAATTTATCCTCGAAAAAAGAGAAACCCAACCACATTAAAATTGATCAAATCTGAGTAAAATCATAGCTCGAATCAAGCCATAAAATCACATTTGGAAGCTTTAGGCTAGTTAATTAGAGAGTCAAATCAACTTCAAATTTGACGTACTTATATGAGCGTTTGATAAGCGGAATCCAACGAGCTAAATATTATTTGATTTCGAGTTTAGTAAGACCTTCAAATTATAAAAAAAAAACTTTTTTATAATTAATGGAAATCAACATGAGCTATTTGATCAGATGGTAATAAGTTATTTGTCGATTAACCATAATTTCACTTATGAAGCATAAAACTAGATCCCCTCTTCACTTGAGATGGAGGGCGAACGAGCTAAATTCCAGTGTTGTAGGCTGTAACCTCAAGCTATATCAATAACTTTTCCGCCTTTGTAATTGCAAATAACTATCGATCACCGGTCGCCGACTCCACCACGGACAATCCAACTTGCCATTGTTGGTTATTATGTAACAAATGAATTCCTGA